CACACCCTCCCCTGACCACACCCACGGGCAGACGGGGTGCCGGCGCTGCAGTGCTGGGCCCGAGGCCCCTGGAGCAGCTACTCCTCACTGGGGATGACGAGGCAGACAGGCAGCTCAGCCGCTGGCCTGCAGCTGCAGCTCAGCACAGGACTTCCAGTGGAGACCTAGCGCCTTTCACTGGCCCTACAGACACGTCTGCAGGCAAGAAAGGAAAGAGGAAAAGGAAAGCACGAAGCATGTGCTGGAAGGAAAACCAGAGAGAAGAGCAGAAGTCACAAGAAATGACGTACTTTAGATTAATAACTTCTCTTACTTTTCCTAGAAGGCGTTTATAATCAGCCTTCTGCACACAGCACAGCAGGCCAGGCGAACAGAGTGCTGAGTGCAGTCACCCCAAACTAGAATCTTGGTGTCACCACAACCGGCCCTGGGCTAGTCCCAACCATTTCAGTGTCCCAAGACTAGCACCGGGAAGCCACTGGGTGAGCTCTGGACAGGTACTATGGACACGCCTGAGAAGCACAGCACACTGCCACATGCCCAAACCTGACACACATGTCCGTGTGTGTGCACACGCCAAGCACACACATGGGGAGTGTACTTGAGAATGGGCACATGCTCCTATGCTCTAACTCTCCATGTGAGAGTCAGACCCATAACTTACAGAATCGCTTCTGAGGGTTATTTTGTCATCTTTCCACATATTCTGACGTGTCATGACACACAGGCGGCCCCACGCCATCTTTTGCTTTACCCACTTCAAACTGTTTCCAAAGCCACATTCTCAATTTTGTCCATGACATCATTCCATTTCACACAAGGTGGACGATTTGCATAGCCCTTATCTCATTTTGGATGGAAAACTGCGTAAAAGTGCCCCTGTCAAATATGGCCTTCATGAAGTAAATAGTATCAAAATATGAACCTGTGTGATGTAAATAAAACTATTACATAGACTGTATTTAAAACCAGTAAGTTCAATACAGTAAGGAAAAAAACTTTCACTGGCTCTGAGGCTCCAAAATGAAATATGCTACACAATCGAGAGAAATGCGTTACCAAAACCTGAGAGGGCTTGCTTGAGCTCGTTCTTGTCGATCATGCCGGAGTTATCTCTGTCGTAGGTGCGGAAGACGTTCTGCCAGTCCGTGATGTACTTCCACACACCCGTGAACTCGCTGAAGTTCACGCCGGCCTTGTTCTCCCGGTCAAACATAGCTGAGAAAAGAGGACACTTTAATCACAGTAAACTTCCTCCAGGGACCCTGCCAGCCTTAGCCCTTCAGGACCCCGTGTGGTGCCCGCTAATCGATAACTGCGTGTAGCTAATAAACGCTGGTTTGTTAAAGTCAGGGGCTAAGTCCTAAAAGTCTTGTCACCTCTGCCCTGGGGGGTGTGGGAGACTAGCACAGAGCCCTGGCCCCCAAATCCCCCTGGCAGACTGTGTGAAAGGTGTGAGCAAAACACATAAGAAGAGCTGTAACAGAAATAAAAACAATACTTTTCACTGAAGTGGGTCCCAAAAGCAAGTTCTCTGGTAGGTACGCTTGCTTTACCACGAAGAAACCAAGGACAGTGAGGCTGAGTGGCCCAGAACACAAATCTAATTCCTAGAGCTGACCCTCCCCCTTCCCCAGGGACCACAGCACTGGTGGAGGCTCAGAACAGCCCCATGTCACTGGAACCTGCTTTAAACAGGAAAAAGATTCTCACCTGTTAGCTTTCAGTCTAACTCCAGATCCAGATACAAAAGAATCTACAATGGGCCAGGTACAGTGGCTCACACCTGTGATCCCAGTACTCTGGGAGGCTGAGGCGGGAGTATGGATTAAGGACAGGAGTTTGTGATCAGCCTGCACAAGAGCAAGACCCCATCTCTACTAAATAGAAAAAATTAGCTGGACGTGGTGGCATGTGCCTGTAGTCCCAGCTACTCAGGAGGCTAAGGCAGAAAGATAGCTTGAGCCCAGGAATTTGAGGTTGCTGTGAGCTAGGCTGACACCACAGCACTCTACCCTGAGCAAGAGCGAGACTGTCTCAAAAAAAAGAATCTACAACTACATTATAAGTAATAGTAAAATGGCTAAAAAATATAGAAAAACTCAGGATTTCTGCTGCAGAGAAAAATGATAAATCATTTGGTCTCTTTTCTAGGCACAGACATTAACATAAGACTGTAGGCTGGGCCCAATGGTTCACACCTATAACTCACAGCATTTGGGAGGCTGAGATGGGAGGATCACCTGAGCCCAGGAATTCCAGATTAGCCTGGGCAACGCAGACACCCATTTCTACTAAAAATAGAAAAATCAGCTAGGTGTGGTGGGGTGGACCTGTAGTCCCAGCTACTTGGGAGGCTGAGGCAGGAAGACTGCCTGAGTCCAGGAGTCGGAGGCTGCAGTCAGCTAGGCTGACGCCAGGGCACTCCTGCCTGGGTGACAAGAGCGAGACCCTGTCTCTCTCTCTCTCTAAAAAAAAAAAAGTATATATGTAAGACTATAATATGAGCACTCTTGGTTTGGGCAGAAATGATGGGAAACGAACACTTCTTTCAAACAGTAAGCAATCCTGTTTGCAAGCATGGGATGTTTTCACACTGCTGTTCCAGATGTGGACTGTGAGGAACACACAGCGTACAGTCCGTGCTGGAGGGTGCAGGACCTATTGCTGCCGTGCACACAGGCGATAAGCAGAGAGGTGGACAGCCCCACCTTTTCAGCAGGGAGGTAATAGCTGCCGCCATCTGTCAATCTACGCGCTAGTACTATAGGCCAAGACTCTGCCACCACCATGCCTGTAAATCATTGTGACAACTCACTGTCTCCATCAGTGTGACGCAGTGATGTGTGCACAACCAACAGGGTGAGAAGGTCTGAAAAAAGTCCTATTGCTATGCCACCATTAGAACTCAGAAAACTCAACATCTGACACTCTACAACACACCGCTGAGCTCACAGAAAGGACTAGAAAACAGTGCAAGGAACAGGAAGCCAGTGAAGGGGCACCAGGCTGCCCAGGGAAAGGCGGACACGAAGCCTTGGCCCTGGAGGCAGCAGAACCGAATCTGAGTGTCCACACTGAAGGCAACCTGGAAGGAGCGATGTCTTTGGAAGGGTAGGCGAGGAAAACTCCAACCCCCAGCAGAGGAAACCTTCCAGGAATGGAAGGGGGGCCAAGGAGCAGCAACATAACACATCTCTCCTGAGAATACACACTGTGCAGCTGCCAGCCTATCCTCTCTTGGGTCAGCAGCCCAAATCTCTGCCACCTGAGCCAGCGGGGAGCACAGAACCTGAGAAACCCATCCCCTGAGTACACAGAAATGATGCAAATCCTCAGGCCCTGGTCTGCACACGAATCCACAAAACAAACAAAAATTATGAAAATATCATGGAAATTAGCCAATGTGAGAGCTTCGGCAGGAACAGTGATCAGATGCAGACCACCCTCCCAAAGACTTCATGTAATCAGAAAGATAATGCAAAGTAGTACCATAAATATGTAACTATTCTTCAACAAAAAATTTACTTAAAATTTTAAAAAACTGTCATATAAAATATTCAAAAAATTAAAGATGGAATCACAAAAATAAGCAATAAGAGACTATCAAAAATGACCAGATAAGGCCGGGTACAGTGGCTCACACCAGTAATCTCAGAACTCTGTGAGGCAGAGGTAGGAGGGTCACTTGAGCCCAGGAGTTTGAGACCAGCTTGAGCAGCACAGTGAGACCCCCCCTCTACAAAATAAAATATAAAATTAGCTAGTTGCATGCCTGTAGTTCTAGCTACTTGGAAGGCTGAAGCAAGAGGATCACTCGAGCCCGAGAATACAAGGCTGCAGTGTGATCGCACCACTGCACTCTAGTCCAGCCTGGGCGACAGAGCAAGGCTCTATTTCTTGTATTCTAGTCTCACGGGGGGGGGGGGGGGGGGCTCTATTTCTTTAAAAAAAAAAAAAAAAAGGTAAGTCTTGGAACTAAATAACTTAGACATTTTAAATATATATAATCTTGAGAATTAGAAACTGAAAGGATGGGTTAAAGAGCAAATTAAAGATAAAGAATCAGTGGAAGCAAACATAGCAAGAAGAGGTGCTGAAACAGGGAGGGTAGCATGGAAGGGTCCGGCACCCACTGAGCTGTAGCTCCAGAAGGGAAGGAGAAGCCATGACCACAGGTCAGGAGGCATGACCAGCGCCCAAGCAGGACAGAGGACAGGCAGCACCTGTCTGTCTGCAGATACTCACATATGATAGACCGAACAGTCACTGGGTTAAACGGAGTCCACGTGCCTGAAAACAAACACACACGTTAAACTGGAAGAAAGGCATTGCTGCAGGGGACTGTCAGCTCTGGTCTGCAGCTGGGGGCTCAGTGAGAGGCCGTCCTGTGCTCCAGAGCAGTGGCACTCACAGGCACGGCTCCAGGGGACCCTGGATGTTCCGGCTGCCATGACAGAGCACCAAAGCTTCCTGGTCAGGCCCTGGAGTCCTTCGTGTCCTGCCGAATATCTGAAGGAGTTATAATTATCTGGGGCTGGAAGTTCACTCTTGCTTAATATCATAACCAAGAAATGGTTTTATTTACTTTAATTTACTGAATTTTCCAGACACGCAGCCACTAGCCAAGTTCAGAAGGTCCCACCAGTCTGGAACGTCACTAAGCCCCGTTTCAGATCCTGCCACCCAGACCACCAGCGCCTGAGAAGCTGGTGTCGCAAAGACCCGAGTGTGCAGCTCGGTCACTCTGCGGTCACTCTGCGGTTCCAGTGATTCTACACACACGCGTGAGCACCAAATACCTCCTCGTGTGTCCCTCAGTAACCGTGTCACAGCATACTGAAAACGTGATAAAATCACACCTTAAAAATTTCTCCTAAAATTACAGTGGCATTATACCATTTTCCTTGAAACTGTGAACAGATAGGCTGTACGTTGCTTTGATTCATTGCTAAATCTGATATGCCTGAGAACTCAGAACCATGTCTCAACTACGATGATGGAATGTTCTGCCCAAGAACCTGTTATCAGAGAGATTGGTGCCTTCAAACAATTTTATACTCACTAAAAACAGACTAAAGAATGTTTTTAATATGGGGGAAGATCAGGGGCTTTCCTTATTCCCCATTTGTATAAAACACCATCTTTTCTTCTGCATACAGGACTGCTGCGGTTCTGGGCAGCACACACAGACAAATCAACCTCACAGAGCAACTCCTCTGAGCTCCCGTTCACAGAGCCGGAGGTTGCCACCTGGAACGCAGGCAGTGGGCGGCAGGGTCTGCAGGCGCATCCTTCACGCCCCCTTCCCCCTAGTCACTCCGGACTCATAAGCCTCCTCCTGGTGCCCACTTGGCTCTGGGCTTTTTCTCAAGCTGATGTAACCCTCCTAAAGCATTCAACACCACCCCCCCTGCAACTCCCACCTTCCCTTCCTCAGAGACCCCACCCCAGGACCCCATATTCCCCTAGCCCAGAAGTTAAATCCACTTGCTCCCCTTGGGCACCTCCCAATTCCGCCTGGGCACACCCTGCCCACTTGCCCAGCACTCTTCCCAGGAAGGCAGCTGTGGCTGGCACACAGCAGCGCTCAGCGAGCGTTTGTTAAACTGAATAGATTTGCAGTTGGCAGGAATATCTCTCTGGCAGGCTTTACAGGTGCCTGGGGGGAGAGTGGACTGGAGTATTTATATAAAAGCATTAGGAAAGGCCAGCATTACTGAAGACTAATATTATAAAAGGAACGATATGTTACAGAGAGCCCACAAAGCAAAGAAAATTCTGAAGAGTGCCACTTCCCTATCCAATCCTACTCGGGCTGCCTTCATTCTCACCTGCCACACGCACTGAACTAAGTCTACACCCACGGATAACCCGCTCCACCCACTGCTGGCAAGGAGCCCCAGGAGACAAGCCCACCCACTAGAGGTCTCCCCTGGCTCTGCCCTCTGGTTTCCTATCTTCCACGGGAAGAGCCCACACACACTCGTGGCCCTGCACTGCCCACTCAGAGCTGGAGCGAGGACTGTGACCTCGTGGAGGAGACCTAAACTCCCACGGTGGAGGCTGCACCGTGAGGCTGCCCCGACTGCCCATAAAGCACTAGCCTCTCTGGGCCTTCTCAACAAGTAACACGGCCAAACAGAGCCACACAGGTGAAACACAAGTGAAATGTTAGATCACGCTGCAGTGCAGGCACAGGAGGGGCAGGTGCCACCCGGACGGGCACACACGGAGTACACAGATGGCATATTCTTGAGAGCTGGGGCCCGGAGGGAACCAGATAGCCATAGAGGAGCCTTCTGGAATATTCTGAGGATTGCAGGAGGGTCTGAGGCGTGGGAGAGAAGAGGGTGCCCCAGGCTGAGTCAAGGATCAGGGAGAGGCTGCCCCTCACCTGCCACAAGGGCCGAGACACAGAGGCAGAAGCGTGTCTGTAAAACTGTATTATAACACTGCCTCGACTGTCAATCTGCTCAGTTTAACACACGCTCCTGGTGTTCTCCACTCGCCCTTCCTGCTGCCCACACGGGGCCTGACATCTCCATGGAAACCACGTAATACTAACAGCCAACATTCAACTGACCCTTCACGTGTGCCAGATCCTAAGACTAAACATCAAAGCTTATGACCCACAGTGAGCGGACATTTGATATTTTGGTTATGCTAGGCATTAAATACACCTGAGTGTCTGCCTGAAAATCTAAGTACAGTTACAGGCCGGATGACGACATCTTAGTCCACACGACCACATACAGGGGTCCCATGCAATTTTAATACTGTGTTTAGGGTTGGGCGCAGTGGCTCATGCCGGTAATCCCAACACTTTGGGAGGCCAAAGTGGGGGAACTGCTTGAGGCCAGGAGTTCAAGACCAGCCTGGGCAAAACAGCAAGACCCCATCCTTACAAAAAAATAGAAAAATTAGCTGGGTGTGGTAGTACCCCCTATAGTCCCAGCTTCTCAGGAGGCTGAAGGAGGAGGATCACTTGAGTCCAGGAGTTTGAGGCTGCAGTGATCACAACTGATCACAACACTGCACTCCAGCCTGAGCGACAGAGTGAGACACCCTGTCTCTTAAGAAAAAAAAAAAATGTAATTAGCCTGTAATCCTAGCACTCTAGGAGGCCAAGGCGGGTGGACTGCTCAAGGTCAGGAGTTCAAAACCAGCCTGAGCAAGAGCGAGACCCCCATCTCTACTAAAAATAGAAAGAAATTAGTTGCCAATTAAAAATACATAGAAAAAATCAGCCAGGCATGGTGGCACATGCCTGTAGTTCCAGCTACTCGGGAGGCTAAGGCAGGAGGATCACTTGAGCCCAGGAGTTTGAGGTTGCTGTGAGTTAGGCTGATGCCACAGCACCCTAGCCCGGGCAACAGAGTAAGATTCTGTCTCCGAAACAAACATTTAATTAAATAAATATACAATTTTCTGTTAAAAAAAAATATCACACGGTGATATAAGCAGTTTTTCATAGAGATTACTGAAAGCAGAGAACACAGAAGACAGAAAAAAAATTTTTATAAGCCCTTCACCTCTAGGGACCCTTTATCTCAGATTTCCTGGGCCAGCCTCAATTCCCAACATGTCTGAGTGATGTCAGAACCACCCAGCTTGCAAAAGATTTCCTGTCAGACTTAAATTACAAAAATATGGCTGCTATACCTGTAAGCCTTGCCTCAAATTCATCTCAAAGAACCAAAGGAAACAAACATTTACATTATTGTCCATGTAAATCAAGTAGATGTGACTTTTTCCACTCACAATTTGGGGACAGTGCTAAAGCTGTAAGAAGCGTTCCACAGTTCTACAGAGGTAGAGTTAAATCACCAACAGATGTTTTAGTGCTTTTTCCCATCTAAACCTCAAGCACAGAAAGGATTTTAGGGATTTATATCCATGTCCATTCTCAAAAAAGGGGGGAAACCCCACCTCAATCCCTACTCTTCAAATATACGTTGTCTTTTTACTCACCAAAGAGTTTTCTTTATTGAAATTATGTCCTGTTAATCAGAAACTCAAATTCTTGTTGATAAAGACCTTAGTGAGTGGTAAAAGATCAACTCTTTTTTTTTTTTTTTTGAGACAGAGTCTCACTTTGTTGCCCAGGCTAGAGTGAGTGCCGTGGCGTCAGCCTAGCTCACAGTAACCTCAAACTCCTGGGCTCAAGCGATCCTCCTGCCTCAGCCTCCCGAGTAGCTGTGACTACAGGCATGCGCCACCATGCCCGGCTAATTTTTTCTATATATATATTAGTTGGCCAATTAATTTCTTTCTATTTATGGTAGAGACGGGGTCTCGCTCTTGCTCAGCCTGGTTTCGAACTCCTGACCTCGAGCAATCCGCCCACCTCGGCCTCCCAGAGTGCTAGGATTACAGGCGTGAGCCACGGCACCTGGCCAAGATCAACTCTTCACTCACATGCGGACAGCTGAAACGCCTAACTACCTGGACTCAGTCACATTTTTTCTACATTGTCACTGGGAACCTCTTCCACTTTCCTGCACCAGACTCTGGGACTCCCAGCCTCACTGGACCTTTCCACTGGAAGAGAGCTCAGGCACAGCACTGGCATTTAGTGCATGGACTGTGCCAGGTCTCTGGTGCCTCTTCAGGTTCAGCAAATCCAGTATTTCACTGGTCACCTTCTATTTTGGCTACACACAGCCATAGTCAGAAATATGGCCTTTCTGAAAAGCAATCAGAATACTGATCAACAGTATTTACAAGGCTTAGATCCTCTGATCTGATAAATTCCACTTCTAGAAACTTGTTCTATAAAATTACAAAACAGGTGGAGCTGGCCTCGGCGCGCTGGGCGCCCGACGCTGGCGCCCAGCAGAGACAGAACGAGGTGGGCTGGGTACCAGCGGCGCGGCTGCGGAGCCTAGCCGGCTCTAGGGGTGGCGCCGCTTGGAGTCTGAGGGGCTCTAGCCAAGCGGCTTCGGCTGTGCCCGAGGTCCCTGAGCGAAGTGAGGCCCAAGCCGAGAGGCTGCGCCCGGAGTGATGGACGTTAGTGTGGTGTCCAGCGTTGGTTGCTTTGTACGTAATTTGAAGAAGGCAAAAGAGAATGAAAGAAGTAGATAATCTTGAAAGTATAAAAGAAGAATGGGCTTGTGAAACAGGATCTGACAATCAACCTCTTAGTGACAATCAACAAACAAACTGTGAATGTTTTGTTGACAGCCTTTTTGAGGAAGCTCAGAAGGTTGGTGCCAAGTGTTTGTCCCCCACTGAACAGAAGAAACAGGTAGATGTAAGTATAAGATTATGGAAAAATGGATTCACAGTCAATGATGATTTCAGAAGTTATTCTGATGGCGCAAGTCAGCAGTTCTTGAACTCTATCAAAAAGGGGGAATTACCTTCAGAATTACAGGGAATTTTTAATAAAGAGGAGGTGGATGTTAAAGTTGAAGATAAGAAAAATGAAGTGTGTGTCTCTACAAAGCCTGTGTTTCAGCCCTTTTCGGGACAAGGCCACAGACTGGGAAGTGCTACACCAAAAATTGTTTCTAAAGCAAAGAGAACTGAAGTTGACAATAAAAATAATTTGTCTGCTGTTCCACTGAATAACTTGGAACCCATAACTAATATACAGATCTGGTTAGCCAATGGCAAAAGGACTGTCCAGAAATTTAACATTTCTCATAGGGTAAGCCACATCAAAGACTTCACTGAACAATACCAAGGATCTCAGAGAAGTCCTCCCTTTTCCCTGGCAATAGCTCTTCCTTTCCTCAAATTGCTAGATGAAACACTCAGATTTACAGACTGCTGTAATCATTCAGAGACTCCAAAAGACTGCTGAACCTCTTAGCTAACTTTCAGAGCATTGATTTTTGATAAATTGGAAAATTTGCAGAGAAATGATGGTTGTAAGTGGGCAAACCAAAATGGGGGATAGGAAAAGTCAAATTTCTGGACTTTTAATTTACCTACTGTTTAACTTTCCAGATAAGAAGATTTTTAAGTAAGTACAGGTTAAGAAAGTAACATGACTGGAAAATATATTTAGTGTACTTTTTCCAAAGGCTACTCAAAAGAAAATATACTTATTTTCAAATACCAAGTAATCAACATAAGATATATTAAATAGCTGTATCATTTAGAATCTAAATATCATATAAATTAGCAAATATGTTCACAGCATCTGTCATTCAAACATCGTTCCCAAACAGCAGGGATTTATTTAAATGTTAGCTGCCTCAGCATTTTTAAATGACACAGTACATTAAAAATTATAAGTGGCAGGTTAAAAAACATCAATGTAATTATTTTAAAACTCAGATATGATCAAAAGTTTAGAGAGACCTGGTTTTACCACATCTATGCCTAATTTTCACAGTGTTCTTGGTTTTCATTCTGTATTGGCAAGATACACCCAAATATTAATTTGGCAACAGTATCTAAGATGTATTTTCATTTAAGAATAAAAGTGTGTGTTTAGTAAAAAAAAAAAAATTACAAAACAAACTCTTACAGTATTTACATTAACGAAAATTAGAAACCATCTAAATGTCTAATAGTGAAACACTGTAAACTAAATTTTGCTACAGACTCTGTCTGTGCAGTTCTATGCCAGGCTGAGTCCAAGGGAAGGAGTTGCAGAGTCTGGTGGGAACAGGCTTGGTGAAGGCGGAAAGGGATCTAAACTTCCAGTTGTCTTACTTTTACATGCAAAGAAACTAAGGCCAGAAATGCTGTGATTGGCCCAAGGTTGTGGAGCAGCTTGTCACCAAAGCCAGGTCCACCAAATCCCAATCCCTCCTCTGCTTCTCTCTGAAGCTCTAGCAGGGCGAGTTTCTGGGGCGAGCAGACACGACAGCTCTTCGGGGCCAGATGACTCACTGAGACTCACAGGACTCATGGTTATGGTTTATTAGAGGAAGGATACTGAGTAAAACCAGCAAAGGGAAAGGGCCGGTGGAGAAACCAGGCACAAGATTCCAAAGTCCTCTCCCAGCCAAGACTCAAAGGACATGCTGAATCCCTCCAGCAAAAAGCTGTGACCACAGAGTGGCACGATGGCAAAATTCAGGATTTACAAGACACAGCGAGCAGCAAAGCCAAGCAAGGAGGCTCTCCTGAGCCTGGGTTTTTCCTGGGGCCAGCAACTGAGGCTCTAGCTGTCCAGAAAAAGTGGGGCAACATGGTGCGAGGCTCAAGGCTCAGTCAGAACATGCCAGAAGCCAGCCAAGGCCAGTCACCAAACAGGCCCCTCCTGGGAAGGTGCAAGGTCTGAGCAACCCTTTCCCCCACAAGAGATCAAAGCTGAGGCGAGTCTCTAACTCGCTCTGCTTCCTCACCAGGGAAACCAGTACCATCAGCCACCAGTGGGCCCGTGTGCAGTAAGGGCAGTGGTATGACCGGACAAGTGTTCTACACAGAACTGTCCTGCTTGAGTGATTGATTTTCTCATTCTTTGTAATATGGGGTTCCCAAGAGAGCTACAACTCTATTTGATAAAAATACCTTCAAAAGAATTTAAGAAGTAGTATTTTTTCTAAAGCACAGCTAAAAAATGACCCCTTGAAACACATCAATATGTTAAGGCAAACCTACTTTAGAAGCAAAAAAAAAAAGGAGGCTTGAGAAGAATTAATTTCTCATAATTCCAAGAAATATGTGAAGGTGAAAAAAAATCCCAAAAGGTACTAAACTCAAGATAATTTGTGACATGTTATTTCAAAAAGGCTAGAGAACAGCCCTCTTCTGTCTTTCTTCATACCTATTAACCGCAGACCTCCCAGAGAGCTGTCATTTTTAGAAGCTCTCCTGTGAAAACAAGTCTTATAAAGAACCAGTGTAAGGGATCCACAAACCTTTCTCAGTATGGTTTTGACTAGATTTTAATAGAGAACATTCAACAGCACAAATGTAAATGAAGTGAGAAATCATGCTATTTTGTAACTTTAGTTTTTCTACCAGTAATACGTGAATTAAATTAATTTCCTGAAATAGCCTAATAACCTGGTTCTACTATCAAAACAGAAGCCCAATTCTGGGAGAACAATTAGAAGTCTAAATAATTTCAATTGTGTTAGTACAGGCATTCAAAGAAGAGAACGAGGAGAACTGACATGCATCTACCCAAGGACAAATGCTGTGTGCCTGTACACACACTCTGCACCTTCCTTCTTGAAGCTCACAGTGCAGTACCAAGAGCGAGCTACAACAGCTGACAAAACCACACGAGGAGAAAGGTGAGTATCAGAGAAAGTGCCATATTGTCTGAGGGTGGCAGTGCACACTCACCTTAGAGAACAGGTGCTTGGACAGTACCTTGAAGGCTGCAACCCCCAGGGATGAAGGCAGGAGTGCAGCCCCCAGGGCAAGCAGGGGCCCAGGGTGACCTGAGGACCATAATGGTCCAGCTGGGGCATTCAGTAAATACCAAAAGGCAGATACACGTGGAAAATCACAGGGGCTCAGCGTGAATGCTCAAACGGGAGTAAAACTGAAAAACCACTCAAAATGAATGCCTCTGAGGCCTGACCTCTGAGGAGGGCACTCCATATAGTACCTATCACCAATCTACCACCATGGTGACTGCCCACTTAAATCTGGTGACCATCTGACCATATTTAACATGTTACGTGAAGAAATCATCCACTTTGGTTAACATTTAGAAAATTTAAGCTAAGATTTGCCAAACTGTAGTCAGTTCTTTCTAGTAACCCTTCCTTGTACTTATCCTGAGTATAACTCAAGCAATGGAGATGCATATAAAAAATAAAAATGATTTAATAATGATCAGAAAATAGAAAAATCAAGAAGGCACAATCATCAGGACAGAGATTATGAAATTTCTTAAATTCCTGAAAATGATCTGTGTATATGCATGTGAAATAACACACCAGTATCTGTGGCCCACATAGCAACTACTAGGAAATGAGGTCAGTAGCATCTACTACTTTACAGGTAAACGTGTTGCTCTGAAAACACAAATCCTCAGCTTAACACAAACCATTAGACATTAATGCTGAATGCCTAGCATGTGCCAAAGGCGAGGGGTTCTCCTCTAACCCTCGCCCCAACACTGTGAGGCAGAGTCCAGCAACCAGCATCTCCCACTCCCCAGTCGGCCTCCTGCAACAGCCTGCTGTCTGCTAACAAAGATGAGCTTTTCAACATTTTCATGTCTTGAAATAGACCCCTTTTCTATTGTAAAGGGCTCACCTCTGGAAAGGCAAACCATAAACATAACAATTAGAAAAGATGCTTGCATTTGAGGGATTACAAAAAAAAAAAAAAACACAGCAATCAGGTATTTAATTGTGTAAAATGTTTCTATCAGTACTAGTGTAGATTAATCACACTGAAACCATCAAGAACATAATTCCATGGAGAGCCCCTGACCACCACACAAGAACTATCATCCTCCCATCCCCGACCTGAACGCCCAGTGTTCCTCACTCTGATAAGAAAACCTACCCACAATTCTGCTGCCGGCACCTCCAATATTCTCTATAATTTCCCCAGGAATTTGGCCTGAGAAGCTCAGCAGTTCCTATAGCAACCTAGCAACCACACTCCCACATAAGTGCTGCATGAACCTTCCCAAACACTTCAACAATCACCCCCCAGCATCACTGACAACATCTTCAATGTCACTAAGATTCAGTTACCTAAAGAATTCAAGGTATTTTGTAGGTCAAAATACCTACAAAATTCTTGCTGTACAAAGCTAAACTTCCTACTCCTCTCCTAAAATCTACACCCCAGATTCTATTTGTCAAGAAACATTTCCTATACTCATGCCTACAGTCCTGCAGCTAGCTCCTCAGCAAGGTAATCAGTTCCTCAGCAGGGTAAATCAGAAACACCTCCACCACAGGACAGCTATACTAGCTTGTCTTAGAGATTCCTTTGTGCTTGGAAAATAAATTCCAGAAAGGAAGTTATTTACTGCAAGTAGATCAAGCTTGCAATTTACTAGTCTTGACAGCCAGGTACTACTGGCCCACTCACCATTGGAGAGTGCTTGCTGGAGCTCGTTGTCAGATATCACTCCACTCCTGTCTTTATCAACCCTGCAAAATCAAGACAACCAGTTAAGCTATTGAGTAAAAGTGCAAGAAATGCAAAACATATGCTTAACTCTCTGTCAATGATACACTAGGTTCTGGAATGCTCTCTCTAGTAGATCTTTAGGAAATGCTCCAAGTGCCAAAAACCCTAAGAGGGGGATCATCTTTTCTCTCTTGTGTCCCCATCTCAAGCCTTCCCTAGCTTCCTCCCCTGGCCAGTCTGAATTTACACCAGAACCAGATTTTCTTTTTCACAAACAGGAAAAAATTCCCTCAGCCAATTAAGTCATTCCCTGGCCATGAGTCACTCAAGTTTCAGCCATCCATTCAGTGGAAGGACGACTAGGGAAGAAGGCGTTGCCATAAAGATCACCTGCCCCAAGCAAACGCCAGGTCTCCCTGCTGCTTCTCTGGCTACTGCCATTTTAACATCGCTGGAAAGCGTGTTTCTGCTCTCCCAACACAAGCATTCCTGGGAGAGCTTCCACTTGGTGGTTCCTGGGGCGGGGAGAAAGGCCGAGCCCCAGGACCTTGCGGCCGCGATTTCGGTCGGGGCTGCACCTCGGGAGGGGCCCGGAGTGCGGGTGGAGGACCCGGCAGGGGACCGAGGGGGAGGCTGAAGGGGACCAAGTAGGGGGCCGGAGGGAGGGGATAGGGGTCCGGGGAGACCGAAGGGCACAGGCAGGAGGCCAGGGAGGGGGACCGGGTAAGAGGCCGGGAGGGAGCCTGAGGGCGACGGGGCAGGACCGGGGAAGCCGAAGGGACGAACTATGGGGCCGAGGGGGAGGCCGAGAGGACGGGCAGGAGGCGCGGAGGCGCCCGGGCGGCGCCAGGCCTCACCTCTGGAAGACGTTCCACAGGAAGCTCTGATCCGGTAGCGCCGGGCCCGCAGTAGGGCCGGGGCCGGCCCCGGGGCCAGGGCGGTAGGAGTAAGAGGCCATGGGCCGAGGCGCGCAGCTAGGCTGAAGCGCCGGCGGCAACAGGACTCGCTGGGGCGACTCTGCTTCCGCCTCTGCCCTGGGCAGAGCCTGGCGCTACGCCACTTCCGGGGGTGCAGGAAGTACGTATGTCCCGCGAGGTCACGGGGCCCCGCACGGCCAATCCCCTCGCTGCGCAGTTGCCAGGCAACGCCAGGGCGCTCAAGGGCTGTCTGGCCAGAGGGCAGCACGGGGCTGGGACCCCGCGTTGGAGGGTGCGGGCCGGGGCGAGGACTCGCGCTGGTGACGGGCGGTTCTGGTAGCTGAGAAAGTTTCAGGCGCTGACGATATCTGGCGGTGAATGTTCTGGAAGGGAAGGTGCGGTGTCCACAGCCTCAGCGTTTCCAGCGTCGGCGTGGCGGGCGCCGCCCCGTTTCCAACCGGCTTCCGAGGTCGCGCATGCCCGCGAGGAAGCCGAGGAGGCGCCCGGCGGGCACGGAGCCCCTGGTCGCGGTGGAGACAGCACCGCCTCGTCCTGGACCCCGGGGCCACCGCGCACGGAGAGTGTCGCCAACGCGAGTCCCAGCGGGGGAGATGCCCGGGCGGGCGCAGCGAGACCCTGGCTTTCTCCCGGTTGCTGTCGGGCCCGGCTCAGGAGGCTAAGATTGTTCCTATTATGCCCGCTTTGCAGGTGTTTCAATTCCTAGTTCAGTGAACGCTGACTTTTTTTTTTCACCCTCAGAGCAGTTGAGGCTTTTTTATGAGCTTTACCTCAGTTTCCCACCAGAATGTGGAGCGGACTGAGAGCCCAGGCCGTGGCCTGCTATCGGCGGCACCTGAGACTCTTCCCTGTGGACGCCGATGCATTATTCAGCGCGGCGGGCATAGCTGCAGATCCCATCAGCTGTCGATTCTCCGGCTGCATCGTCGGCTGGCCCTTTTTCCTTTTCCTCTCTTCTCCGCAAGGCATATACTCGAGAGTTTTCAAATCCTTCAAAGAAATTAAGATGCTCTGTGGCTTTGGCATTCGTTTAATGTACTAACTTACAGACCTCTTTAACAATGTTGATTTTGTTTTCATGACCTAGTGAATTCAAACGGTTTCTAGTTCTCTCCTCATAAAGTATTCACATCATTTGTTAAACGTTCCTTTCTAGAGTCTTCCACAGCTCTTTGACCTGTAGTTTCTGAAATCCATCTTTATTCTCCCTCCCATCTCTGGCTCTTTTATGTTCTCCAGAACTCTGCAAATATTAACTATGATTTTTGGAAGTTTTCCATGTCCTCAGCAAGAAACGTCCCAGGGACTGCAGCAGGACTGCGGCCTCCGTCTCCACCAACCGCTAGCCAAGTTTCCAACCTGGAATGCTACGGTCAGCATCACCCATGGCACGGAAAGGTGCCCTGTCCTGCATTCTGGGTAGCTGTCTAAGGCTGGGAAATGCATTCATTGAAGAGAAAAAGCGCTTACTGAATGCAGCCAGCTACAATTCACCCTAATGTCTAAATGTCACTTTGTTTAGTCTTCACCATGCCAAAGAACCACATCCACATTTTACCGATGAGAAAACCATAGCCCACAGAAAGTAACTTGCCTAAGGTCAAATAGGCAATTAGAGGAGATTCAAGTCCCCAGATCCTTCTGTGCTCTTCCTGTATTACCTCAGTGGCTTAAAAGGGAGATTAATTACTGTGAAATTAAGGTTTAAAGAAAAAACACCTGCAGGTACAGCAATATAAATGTACCAATGGATGCATCTAGAAGAACAAGAGATTCTAGCCTGACGCATTCACAAACTACACTGCTTCATTCCCTTCCTTTACTGCGACCCTACTCTCTCAGGAATCTCTAGCTGAGTCTGCACCCTGTCAGCCATTGGGTTGTGCTGCTAGGAGACAATCTTGCCTTTCGTGAGTCCTCTCTATAGTCTTATGCCTGGGTCCTGTTGCCACCTACGAAAGGGCAGGAAGGTACAGTGGAGACCACCGTCTGCCCACAGAAAGAGCCAGGGCATCTCCTGGCCCTGTTTCTGCTGACTCCATCATTTGAATCATCTAGGTGCCACTATCTTCTTGCCTATCTCAGATTCAATTTCCTCCAAACCAGGTCTGTTCTAAACTTTCCAGGAGTTGAGAAATTGAAAGATAATATTCTTCCCTACATTAATGTCAATCACATTATGAATCCAAATATTGGGCCAGTCTTTCCTATGGTCTAATTTCTCTGAAAATGTTTCTCTAAGCATTGGCTTTCTGCAGATGCTAGTGTTCCTGATGCTTTCCACAGCGCACCGTCTTGTTCCTGTGTCCTTGGCATGTAGTAGGTCTGAATAAATACTTGTTAAGTGGATGACCATGCTGTCCTCTGTACACATGTATTTGCACACACACCTAACATGGCATCCCTCTGAAGCCACCTAGTCCATTACTTATTCTCATAGGGTTACGGATGGTTGCACATTTGTACACTGAGGAGCTTTCCTCTTCCACTCACTTTCCCTTGTTCAGCCTCCTGCTATAGCACTCCAGGGACAGCAGACCACCCCACCCCACCCAGTCTCAGGATGACAAGGCTCCTGTTTTCCAACCAATATTCTTCCGTCAGAATTTGACATGAAAGAGAATGACCTACCACTTCTTATTTAACTCAGACTTCTCACTGAGTGGTGGACAATTTGCAATTTGTCAGATACACACTATTCAATATAACGGGTGTCGCCAGATGTCTGCATAAGTGCTGGCTGACACGCTGTCCACAGTGGTGGCTTGGTCTGCGTCTGCTCTGTCCAGTGGGGCAGCTACTCACCATGTGGAACCCCTGAGCACCTGACACATCAAGGTGATGGAACTGAATTTTAAATTGTATGTCATTTTAATTAATTTAAATGTAAGTAGCCACATGTGGCTATGGTATTGGAGAGGGCAGGTCTGAAACAATTTACCATACATCTCACCTTTCTGCTTCATTTGACCCATATTAGAAACTATCTTCATTTTCCCTCTGGGCAGTATTCTACTTCCTTTTCATAGTGATGCAATTTTTAATTTCTCTGGTTTGTCAATTCTCTGAACATGTGTGGGTTTATTTTTAAACCATGAAACCCACACCTACAAAACATTTTCAATATGAAATATTCTATCCTGTGGCTCATTAATTAGTGGAGTACCATAAAAATTTACATTTCTAGACTACCCACATCCCAGAGGTTGTCTTGTTCTCAATATTCATAAAAGTAGTTTGAGGGTTTGAGTTAGAAGTAGTAGACACAGACATAAGGTAACCACCCCATCAGTTATTTCTTTGAAACCAAATTGGCTCTTCTCTTGCCATCTATCATATTTCAGAGGTACCTGTGCTAGTTTTTAACTCACTGTCCTAACAATCAAATGTTGCTCAGACACCCATATTACTACTTCCTATAAGGATGGCATTGCTAGTAAACCATCTAACAGGAAAAAAAATTGCTGTTCACAACCATCCCTTTGTTTGCTTAACCACTCGTGGCTTGTTTTTTTTTTTTTTTTTTTAAGAACTTGTTTTACAGAACTGGAAAACAGTACTAAGCAGACAGAAGCATGTATCCTCCTCCACATCTGCCAGACCACATTCTGAGGAGTGCAATAAGGCCAGTCTAGTACAGAAGGAAAAAAAAAAACCACAACTGCCCCTCCTGTTAGCATTTTCCAGCAATAACTACTCTATCCTTTATCCCAACAAAAGCCCAAGCCACTCACCTTTGGAACTCCCAGTTCTTCCATTCATGCTGTGCTCTTTCCTCCCTTGGAAAGTAAAACAAACTTCTTGCTTTAAAATCTATTCTTATCTCCGAGAATTCTTTCTCAGCTTGCAATAGGAACCCTTTCCCTAATATTTTGGTGGACTGTATGGGGACTCACTTTCCTACCTCTGTCTCAAGACTTCCCTCCTCTGTGCACAACTCCCAGGACATCCTTCTCAATGCCCTCAACACCATTCGGTACTCGAGGTCTCCTGGGCTCTGGAAGTAGTCATATGCACGAGGCTAAGAGTGGTAGCTTTGGTTTGGTTTTGGTTGAGAATGGAAAACCCCATACTGGATCTACAATTCTCGGGAGATGCCTTGGAAGGACACTTCCTAACCACCTCTCAGCTCACCCAGACCCAGGACACCTGGCTTTGGGGAAGACCTCCAGGGTCTGATCTCGGTCAGAATTCAGGGACTCCTGCCGTTTGGGCAGCTCTCTAGGTTTCTAGGTCTCGGTCTGACTCAGGTCTCAGGGATACCTGATGTCTGATCAGATCTCAAGGTCATCTGAGTCAGGGATGCCCCTCTTAGACTTTCTTCTTTTGACATATGGCCATCCCTGAAAAGTCCTTTTCTTTCTTCTGGTTGTCACCATGGGCAACCTTCAGTAGGCCCCACATGAAGACTCCCGACTGGGATGTCTCCTTAAGAATTTGAAAACTTTGGGACTTACCAACCTCCAGCCCAAACATTTAGCTTTGTATTGCAATGTAGCCTGGCTACAATATAAATTAGACGACCTGAAGATCTGGCTTGAGAATGGATCCCTTAATCATAATACCATTCTTCAACTAGACCTTTATTGCTACTGGCTGGGCAGGGGTCTGAGGCTCCCTACACTCAGACTTGCTTTGAACTTACCTGACATGCAGATCTTTGCTACACCTGCATGTGTTACTTCTTACCTCTACATCTCCCCCCCACCATCCTCTGACCCAGATGAGGTTTCCCTTTTGGCTCCATTTCCACCTCACCTCCCTCCTTTGGCACCATCATCAAACCCTTTATTTAACCCCACCATCTCCACTCTCCCCTAATTCTCCCCTGCCACTCTCGCCTGGCCATGCTTGAAATGGCCAGCCATCCCAAACTCCCTCCCCGCCTGTGCACCAGCTCCCTCTCAGGGAGGTTTCTGGGCCAGAAGTCATTATAAATTACTCAGAGCCAGGATACAAACCCAGCACTATACCTTCCACAACTATCTGGGGCTATCTGTCCTGTATTGACTTTGACCCTAACACCAGAGAGGGACAGTCTATTTCAGCAATTCACTTCATCTTCCAGTCAGCCCCCAATACTCGATACTCGGTGTGAACTCCAAAGACTTAGAAAAAGGGGCCTCTA